ATATTAAAAATCTGATTACAGGCTTTAAATTGGTTTAAAATTTTAGTTTTATAGTCAATTTAATTATTCAGGTATCACGATCTAAAAATTAAAAACGAAGTGGTACAATAATTATGGAAATCACTGTATTAAAGATTAGGGCTCTGGCAAATTCCTAAAATAATAATCTTTAAGTCTAAACTAGTTTCGCGCGAATCATTAAAACATTTCACAATTTTTTCGTCATATTCTGAAAGATTTACCATCAAAGTGCTTTCTGAAAGTCTCGAAATTCTACAAAGTAAACCCGTTCATATTTCTTTTATACCTCGTGCCATCCCTCTCTCAGTTATGGTTTAAACTCGAATAATCTTTTCTTTTATTTAAATGTTTTTTCCGTTATTCCGTGATTTACAACAAGGTTTTTTTTTTTTTTTAAAAAAAAAAATGACCGTCATTTCGACCTGAAATTTATAATAAATTGATTATTTGAATTCATTCCAAAAGTCATTTAATGATCATTTTGTCAACAAAGTTTTCTGGCATATTAATTAAACGACTAAAATTTTGTCACTAACACGCGAAAACTTTGATGATTCGCGCGTAATTACAAGTGTTTATTGTACAGTATCTCGGTTTTTTTGAATCTGATCATGTGACCGAAATCCGACCGATAAATAATCTCTTTTAAATAATACTATTTGTTGAATGCTTCCTTAACAAATGATTTTTTTACTTGAGAAATGATATCGTATAATCCAATGACCATCCAAATAAAATCCTTTTTGTGGCTCCTACTTGATTCGGTCATTACCTTGTTCTTGTAATTAAAATAAAAAAAAAGTTATAGTACACAAATGCTGTATTATCTATCCATTGACACATTTGTTAAAAAACAAATAATTTTATGAAATTATATAATAATTGTCACTCATATCTTTGATAGTATTCGTGATCGGTGTATAATTGTCTGCGTAACCGTCTGATAATTTGCCAATTTCAAATATATTCCAATTACCGTTTTCAACTACACAAATTATAACAGCTCGTGATTTAGCAGCAGATTTTAAAGTATAAGAACATAATAGTACATTGGGATTTGTAGGATCAAATAATTTAAACGAAGGATCTTTAAAAGACCCAATGTCTGGAGAACCAAATGAACTTAGGACGAAGTATAATTTTGTAACCGTTGCCGGCATGAATCCTAAATTTGCTGTAATACGATGATGTCCTATGTTTTTTTTTTTTAAAAAAAAGGTATTATACTAGGATAAGAAAGGATTATTAAAAAGATAAAAAATAAAAAGTCCCGAATGTTTTTGTTACCTCTCTTTTTGTTGCTGTCCAAAACGTCACCAGAATGTGACATATGAGGAATATCACCGAACATTTTCTTGCTATAGTCAAAAATTCTCCAAAGACAACTCCCTGTATAAAGCATACAAGTACCATCCAAAAAATCTATACTTGACGAATATCCCCAGTTTAGATCAATTTATAGATAATTCTTTTGAAATGGAATATAATAACACCATAAATTGTAAATGACTTCCGGCTACTATTGAATATTCGGACAATTTATTTGGAGTACTTCTTGAATGAGTCTGAAATAAAATTTCTCGGAATAAATAAATAAATAAATATTTTTTATTTTTTTGAATACACTTACGTGTAACTCAACTTCTTTATAAATTAATCTTTGTTTTTTAACTTCAACATTAGTTTGTTTCTCTATGGCTTCTTTTAAAGCCACAACAGTTTTGATCTGATCCAACCTAAACTGTAATTTTGTACCATTTAATAATACCACATAAAATTCAAGATTAATTTTCAGATTATCTTTTGGTGTATTTGTCGATGATTTCCAAAGATCAATTTTAAATGGTGCATTTTCCCATGCCAAATTTAATTTTTTAATTTCTTGATCTGTAAGATGTCCTTTACATTCAGGACAAATTGGTTGAATTTTATTTGACTTTTTAACATCAAGTTTCTCTATTATACACTTTATTTCAAGGATAAGAATGATAAATTTATTTTTATTATTATTATCTTTTTTTTTATGAAAACATTAAAAAGGAAATCATTTTGCGCAAAAAAAGGAGAAAAAAAAAATGAAAATGAATTTACCCGTAAACAAAAACTCGGCATGTGAAAGCACTTTTTGCCAATAGTATCAGCTGGAAACTCTCGAGATAATTTATCAATTTTACAATTTGTACAATTCATCGTTTTTTTAAAAATTTTTTTTTTTCTTAATTTAAAAAAAAAGGTAAAAAAAAAAATGTGACAATGATGAAATTAACTAAATCGGGAAATTTCTTTATTCAGTTATTAATAACCGACTTTACTATAATGCCGATCAATGGATAAAGTAGAAATAGCGACAGTATGGTCTTTGTGCAAGTTGAATGTTCTGTAATTCCCAAAGAATCTATCGACAACGATGATCATCTGATTAAATGCAATAATGAATTTCCATAAACAGTCATTTGGTCAAAAATTTGGACACGATTTTAAATTCGTTATCACATGATAACCACTAAATTCTTAACGAATCCAGCGTTTAGACCTTCTGTTTTTTCCAATGGATTTTGAAGCCATGAGGGTAAATAATCCGTCATATGGATTATTTAACCTTTGTGGTATGAATATTTAAATGATTGTGCTGTAATTGACTATTAACATTAATTTTCTGCGCTTTTCTAGATGAATATTTCATCAATAATTTCATCCATTAAAAAGAAAATTAAAACATATTACAGTGAAACTAATAATTTAAAATACAGTAGGTTCACAATAACGTGATTAAAAACGGTCTGACTGATTTTGGTTTATTGATTTTTTGTTAACTATAGAAAAGCATTATTTAATGATGGTTAATGGATCACGTGGAATTCTTTATTTTGCATCTTGCAACATCTATATTTGTTATGATGAATTCGCAAACCATGAATTTCCCAAGTTTTTCGTCAAAAAAATCATTATTAACCGAGAGTAGAATAAATAATACAAAAAACTCTCCCAATTATATTTAATTGGGTAAATTGGACAGATTTGACATTTTACGTAGCATTTTTTTTTATCGTTAATCGTTAACTTTATTTTTTTAAATATTTAAAAAGAAAATACATTCGTTTTAATTGTGACAAAAGAAGTAATCCAACTAATTGCATTCTATTTACAAAGAAAGAAATAATTCTTTTTCTGCTTTAATAATTAATAAAAAAATCTATCAATTTAAACTTCCATTATATCACATCTAATATAATTTTGCCTACAATATTTCAATTTATCCAACTGTTACGATCAAAGCTTTGCTTAGTTTTTTACCTTTATGTTTAACAACGAAACATAACCCTTCAACATCTTCAACGCTTGTAAGATCAAATGGGAAATCACATTCGAAAGGAGAAGTACCCGGTGGGTTGATGTGGATCTGATCTTGAATTTCTTTGGTGAGGTCTTGGAGTTCATTTTCATCCTTGTCTTCTAAGAAGAAGCTATATTCTTCAACGTTTGCACTTTCGAAACCAGTATTAAATTGTCCAGTTGTTCGACATTTGCCACCTGGAATGTTGGTCCAGGTAAATCGACCGGTGACCTCGTCAGTAAAGTCACAGTAGGCAACCGCTCCTGTTTGTTGACGTTTATTCAATGGAGTAGCCAAAGTTAATCCTGCAAAGATCATGCAAACCAAGGCAAGCATAGCCAAAAAAGAGAATTTTCTTGACAACATTTTTGTTTTAATTTTTTTTTAGTTTTTGGATAAGAAAATTGAGTTATTATTTTTATTTTATTGATTAAATATTTGATTTCTTTTTCGGTTGGAAGAAAAGTAGGATGAAATTGTTGTTGCTTTTATAGTTAAATGATGATAATAATTGGGATGTCGCTTAAAAATAAAGATATCAATTTCCGTTTAAATTTACGGAAACTGGTTTACTGAGCCTTCAGCCAATCGATCAAGGCTGTGTCATCATTAAGAGAAAATTATTATTTTTGATCTTGGCTTTGAAACCAAAGATTATTGAACTTGTCAAGGCTTTGAAGTTTCTTTATTAATTTACGATGGTTGAGTCGAGCGGATTTTATGTTTGATCTCAGCAAATTTTCGAAGCCCCCCCCTTACAATTAACTAATGAGAGATCTCTCTTCTTCTTCCTGGCTTGATCATCAAGCGGGAAACGTTTAAAAAATTTTCAATTTGTATGTTGAAAGTTAAAAATGTTTTCGCGGTGTGATAATTTCCCAAAGGATTTTGCTTTTACATAGTTTGGAAAGGAAAAGGTTCATTTGGTTCAACGAAAAGGTTTTGGATAGAATAAAATTTCCAAAAAAGTTTGGAATGAAAATTTTAATTTTATGGCTTATGATAACCGAATGCGTCCCGTTCATTTTTTATTTTATGGGTTAACCCTAGTTTATATTCAAGAACTCATTTTATAACATAGCCTAAAAATGTCTTAAATCTTACAAAAATGGAAAAGAACAAATAATTGTCATAATATAAAAAAGGCTTTCTTTTTGTTCATTTAAGAAAAAACGGGAAGCAAGCCAAATAACAATTTCACGTGACTTCAGCCTTCACCTCATGACTCCCGAGAAGAGTTATTTCCCGCGGGTGAATAAGAGGTAATTCCCCGGTCAGCTGAGGGCTCAGTTACCCTTCTGGTATGACCTTGTGACAATTTTTGCTTTCTAAAAGATGCCTTTTTAATTCTAGTTCTATATACTTGTTGCTGATAAACCTTAAAAAAGGTCAAATTTTTTGGCTGGGCCTTACGTCATAGGGATAAAACGACTACAGTATATTTATCTATCATCGCATTTTTTTTTATTAATATCAAAGATAAAAATTTGCAAATAAAAATATTATAATTTATAAACCACAAACAAAAAGAAATGAAAAAAATATTTATAAGAAAGGAAATATACAAAGTATTAATTTATAATAGCTTCGTTAAAAACTACCGTAATAAATAAAATATTATATGATACAAAATAAAAATATAAAACAAAAATAAAATAAAAATAAAAATTAAAAATAAAATTAAAAATAAACACATCTAATTTACATTATCGATTTTGAGCATTGCTTTTTTTTCTCGTTCCGCTTGACATGGAAGAGGAAGCTGAGGCGGATGTACTAGAAGAGAGTGATGACCCTGATGACTGTCGTGAAGCACCAGGTTGACTTTGATTGGATGAGGTTTGGTTATAATGATTTGGTTGATCGAAAACTTTCATGCTTTCGATTTCATTCTTCTCGGTCTGAGCAAAATTATTTTCCGGTTCTAGATCTAGGATTCTCTTTAAATCCTTTAATGCATTATTATAATCTTTTGTCATTCTACGAATAATGCTTCGCTGATACAATCCTAAAATATAATTTGGTTTATATTTAAGCGTAAAATTCAAATCCTCGATGGCCTTGTCGCAATCCCATTTGAGCAGATAAATATACGCTCGAGTTGTTAACCCGAGTGGGTTTTTTGGTGAATCTTGGAGTACGCGTCCCAAATGAATTAAAATCTCATCCACTCCAAGAACTTCAGTTAAGTCATTATAGACCGTTACCCTCTCTTGGAATGACGAAATGTCTTCTCGTTTATTTAGAATTAATATCTTTTCACAATCCTTGAGGGCTTCATTGTAGCGTTTCATTGAGGTAAGAACGGCAGCTCTTTGATTGAGAGCAATCAGATCTTCGGGTTGTTGCATAAGAACTTTATCCAAATCAATGAGAGATTTATTATTTTGTCCGCATCTTCGTAGCGCTTTCCCCCTTACTCTAAGACCATGCAAGTTTGATGCATCATACTTTAAAGCCGTATTGCAGTCCTCTAGACAATCTTTATACCGGCCAAGTTCACAAAAGATATCTGCTCTGTAACATAGCGCTCCCACGTCCCCCTTATTTACATGGATTAATTTATTAAAGTCCGAAAGACTTTCATCATATTTCTTTGCAGTAAATTGCAAAATTCCCCGTTGACGAATCGCGACCAGGTTTTCAGGATAACGTTTTATTACCGTGTTAAAGTCCTTCAAACTATTTGAATAGTCACACTTATTAGCATATATCATCCCCCTGTAGAGTAAGGAGAAATAATTATGCTTATCCAAATTCAAAACGTTATTCAAATCCTGAAAGCTCGCGTCGTATTTTTTTAACATGAAGTGGGTGCACCCTCTCCTACTTAAAGCAAAGATGTTTTCCGGTTGCTGTTCCAACACATAGTCCAGATCATATAAAGCCTCGTAATATTTGTTTTGTTTACGGAAAACGTCTCCACGCTCAGCCAAACACCACAACTTCTCCTCTTCAATTGTCGTGTTGTTTGATACATGATTTAAATCGTTCAAAGATTCCGACAACCTATCGATCTTACAATATACGGACCCGCGCTGTGAGAGGGCGAATAAATTATTCGGATTACATCGAATAGCCTGCGTCAAATCTTCCAAAGCTTCATTGTATTTGCGAAGTTCTCGAAAGAGGGCACCTCTACTAGCCAGCACCTTGATATTAGATTTATCATTTTCCAACACCAAACTGTAATCATATATACCCTTTTGTATGGAGCCTAATTCTTTATGAACATTCCCTCTTAATTCGTAAGCTTCCAAGTCCGTTTGGGAATATTGGAAATTTTCGTCTCCAGTTTTTAAACTTTCGATCCAGTTGATATAAATATTTATATCATTAAGAGATTCCTTAAAATTTTTTGATAGCAAGTGTATTTTCGATCTAAGAAAATAAGATTCCATGTTGTGATTGTCGTATTGAAGGGCAGTCGACAAATCAATTAAAGCCTCACCGAACCGCTTAAGGTAAATATATACCTTTGCGCGCTCTAATAGTACACAAGGATCATTCCTCTCGGACATCAAGGTTTTATCTAAAATTAGGAGAGCAGTATGAGGATTCTTTTTATAACAATCCCTCACGTACTGCAAAGGGTCCGGTGGGTCGGTGGGATTTGCAAAATGTTTCGAAATTACGTCGTCTATATTATTTGGAGGTTTTTTAATATCCTCACTAACTACGGACATAATTTCAAATTCGGATGATGCAATAGTTTCTTGAGGGATAAGTCCTGCAGCATTGAGTCGCTTCGATAATGCTCCCAATGTTGATGTTTGTGGAAGTAATGTTATACTCTCTTCAACGATGACCATTCTACAAATAGTGCAAGTAATCAACCTCTCTTTCTTATTCTGAACGGTCTTATAAATATCAAAGGCCTTTTTTGACATAAAGTGGCCACAGTTCAACGCATAATAAACGTCGCTTATCTGCAGCATAACAGGACATAATAATTCTTCCGCAACCAAATTAAGTATTCGATTATCTCCTTGGTCTGTAAAAGCCGGAAAATCATCTTGAAGGTCATCGGTTTTGAGATCAAGATTTCGAGAATTCATCCTTGATTGACAAGAAATAGCGAGTTTGTACTTGACATAATCGATAAGTGCCGCGAATTTGGCCCGTTTTTCAATACGATTGGCATATTCATCCAAATCCGCGTTCACGACACCAAACCAATCCCGTTTTCGATGTTCAAGACTTAAAAGGAGCTCGATTGCCTTAAACCTGATAAAAGTGCTCGGGGAATGATTTAAACTTTCCAAAGCTAAATAATAACACAAGGAGAGCGTGATCGAGTTTGTGGAGGAAAGAGAAACACTTCCTGCAAGGTCAAGGATTCCAAACCATAAGGTATGTGGGTAAGAGAGAGGTTCCATGCCAGTAAGTTCGGCAAACAGCTTCTTCTTGTTATTAAAAACTTTTGCAAATTCGAAATCCTCGTTTCGTGATGAACCAATCTTGCTCCAAATTTGCTGCGCATGAAACCAGAGGTATTCGAGAAGCATCCTTTCTCCAAATTTCTTGAGATTCTGACTATTGGCTTCAGTATCTAACGTATGTTTCAGCATTAACAAGAGTCTCCAGTCTTTGTAACAATTCGAGACTGGGACTTTGAATCCGAATGCATCTCTCATCTTTCCCCATGTGGTTAATGCATTTGCATTGTCAATAAAGTTTGGAACTCCCATGACAGAACCGATTCCAGATGCTAGACCCAAAACACCCTTAAAGAATTCTCTTACCCTAAAAAAAAAAAGGCGGGAAAATTATGTGTAAAAATGATATCCCATCAAGTGCTTCATATCCCTTATTTTAATTGACCATATATCTACCTTCTCCAACCTTCCCGAAATTTTGTTTCGTCGTCGCTCAAACTATGAATGGTGTCTCGAAGGTGTATCAAGAGGAAGTCAATGTTGTAATTACGTTGAACGCAACCGGATGGGAGGTCGAGTTCAATGTCAGCTACATTTAAATGTTGTAATTTTCCTTTCCAGGTTTTATGCAACCCTTGATATGTTGCAACGGATATATTATGGTGTATGTCGTTAAATTCGGCTAATGAATCGTAAAGTCTCTGTCTTAAATTGCGGTTCAGTATAATTGGATTTTGGCAAAACACCTCAAGTACCGATGCGAAAGTCCTTAGATGTAATTCAAACATTACAACAGTCTCTTTAACGGTGTAACTGTACGGAGACGTGTCGGCAAGTCGTTCAAGTGCACTTATTAAACTCTTTGGACTCCACTGGGTTGGATGATTCTCTGCTAATTTTTTTAATTCACTGAGATTGGAGGGTTTAGAAATGTCCAAAAGTTCTTCGATTCGATCGTCCATAATAGGAACTTTAAGAAATGAATCGGTCATCGGTGCACGTGGTTTACTTGGAAGTGGTTTTTTGTCCGAATTTGACCTTTCAGAAAGTGTGTCAGTATCTCTGCGGTGAATTTGAGAAGGTGCATATGAATTAGGAGGAACTCTCCCACTACTACCTCCATTTCTATTTATTACGGAAGGATTATATTTACTCATTATCGAAAGATATTTTTTTTTATTATGTAATTTTTTATTGATGAAAAGAAATGATGAAAAGAATGAAAAGAATGGATTAAAGGATAAAAAATAAATAGATGAACTTTATAAAGTTCGTAGAATACTCGTTACAACTTATTTCAACGTTCACGAATTATTATGCTCATAAAAAAAAAAGATGAAAGAATAATTTTTCATTATTTATTATTTATCCATTAATTGATATTTTTATATAAAAGAAAAAATTCATTGTATTTTTTCCACAAAAGGAATTTGATTTTGAAATTTTGTGTTACGAATTTAACTGCTTTAAGTATGGTTTGAAAGCAATTTAGATAAGATCTTTTCTGTTTAGAAAGGAGGTCTTCCAAGTAGAATATCCTTCAGGCGCGCAGTAAGATACTGTGCCAAAATAATTCTAAATGAAAATTGTACATTGAATATTCGGATTATAGGATTCAACGTCCTATGTGATAACCATTGAGGACCATCTTTTCTTTTTTGGATGTGCATTGTTTATGGGTATCAGAGAATGTAAAAGATTTAACGATGACAATTTATTTATCATTGCCAAGAAAAAATATTATCGTTTGTATTGGAGAAAACAATCGACATTCTGATAAGACAAATTGAGATTCTGAAGGTTTTTTGTTACACATAAGAAATTGAGTTTTGGAATACAAAAAAAATTTCTCGTAACTGCGTCATTATCATATATGTCGCTTGCAGATTTATTTGGATCAAAAAAAAAGTTGTCTAAAAAAAGCTAAAAATGGCATGGATTGATTTTTTGTTTCACGGTTGATTTGTTTGTGGATTTTCCCGGTTGCTATTTTTTTACTGTACATTTATTTATTTTTATTTTATTTACACATGCCCCCCCCAAAAAGAAAATGGATAAAAAAATTCACAAGCAAAAGAAATATTAAGTATTATATAATAAAATGTATAATTTAAACAATTTAAACGTGATTTTTCTTGAAATATTTTGGTTCTAGCAAATGTTCGGTTTGGTGGAATTGAGCAGGACAAGTAGAAGATACAACCGAATCGCGTAGATGATATAATTTCACCCATCCATTAACATAACTATTGATTCCATCGAGAGGAAAGTCACTAGATTTCTTCAAGTTTAACAATAATTCGGCCGAGTTGTCATTCTTATTAATAATTAATCCACGCTGAAATAGTTGAGACAAGTCTCTGCGTAAACTGTTATCAGGATTCAATAGGTAAAAATGATAATTACTTAAGTTCGAATCACTGGGCAAGTTGGTGAAATGACCTCTTATAACCGTTTGTAGTCTTTCATTATAATAACAAGAAGAAATGTATCCTTGAATTTCTCTTGCTTCTTTGCGATATGTTGTGTGTGGCAAAAGGTTCGCATGAACGCATATTTGATTTTGATTATAAAGTTGAAATTGTTGAGTGAAATCGATTGAAGCTGATGAGGTTATCCATAAGAGAGATAAGAATGTCGTAAGTGATAAAAGAATTCGCATTATTTTTGTCATAATCGTGTTTTTTTTTTATTTTATTTTCGTATTTAAGATTTCGTTAAAAGAGTAATAATTTTTTTTATAATAATTTTTTTTTGGTAAAAAAACGAATTGAAAAAAAAAAAATCAATCCAATTTATACTTATGAATGAACTATGTTATTATATAGTTACTATCAACTGTCGTGAAATGTTATGTAGTACTCATTACAAGAATAAAAACTTTATTTATAACATCATCATTCATTCCGACCCCTCCTTAGAACGTTTTACTTAATATGGAATATTTTCGGTGATTCACAGCAGGAATTCCGATAAACACTTGATCACAATATATATAAATCTAATATATAACAAGATTTTTGATTCCAATCTATTATTTTTGATTATTTTTAAAAAAATTTATTCCTAATCCATTTTAACAAAGAGTTCTACAACCAAGTATGTCAAAAAGGCTTGAACTTGTGTTAATTAAAGGTAACCAAATTCGGCATGTGTTACCAAACTAATATTCCGTTCCCGAACTACTGGTTTAAATAAAATTGACGCGATAAGAAATACCTATCCATAACAGGATAAATAATAAATATTTGAACTCCTTGAAATATCATTTTTTGCATATTGGGTTCAAAACATATTATATTGTGTTATGGAGCGATACACACTTTTAGTTTTTGAATTATCTCCGTTGTTGTATTACGCAGGATTTTTTTATTACTATTGTTGTTTAATTGTTTTGATTTGATCGACTACAAGCCATTTCTTTCTATTGATTGTACCATAAAAGATGAAATTTAAAATCTACCTTTGGGTATTTGCTAAATTTATTTTTATTTTTTATTTTTTTTACATTTAGGTTACATTGTAATGACGTTATGAAAAACTTCGCGTGTCACATGAATATTTATAAATATTTGATTCGCAGATAAGCTTTTATGTAATTGTTAATATTAAACTATAAAACCTTCATCCTCAATCATGTTTTTATCTTTTTTTTTTATAGAAATATCATATATTTATAACGCTACTTTTAATTGGTAGATATCAAATTTATCTTCGAAATTACATTTATCAAACCAAATCATCGTCATGTAGTTTTTTAAAGGATCGGGAGAAGAAAGGAATTCAAGATATATAATTTAGACCAATCTGCTTTTAATTCAATTTCTTAAGGTTCCTATTAGTACAAGGATAATGTATTTACCGATAAGCGCTTAAAATATAAATTGATGATAACCTAATGGGTGAAAAAAAGGATCCTGGCAACAATTCTATGAATTTTAATTACAAAGGTTGATTTATAATTAATGGGCATATAGAGACACAAAATTAGAATTGACACATTTTTGTCCAATATGACAAATCAAATCAAAAGGTTTAATTTCAACGATATTTAGCTGGCTTTTAACGTGAAGAATTTTAATAATTTTTAATAATAATAATAATTTTAATACTAATATACAAAATAAATGTGATATATTATATAATTATTATATATTTTTTTTCCTTTAAACCTTTGAAAATACACCAATTAGATCTGAAAGTGTTAGGACATCAATTACTTTCTTTTCATCATTAACAATCCATAAACGATGAAGGTGGCTCTCAGAGATTAATTTTAACGCTTCTCGAAGCGTACTATCTTTTTTGACTGTTAATGGGTTTAAGATCGCATCGGCGTTTGGAAGTGTCTATATAAATGAGTGTGTTTAAGGAACTTATTAGTAAATTTTAATTAAAACGAAAAAGAAAAAATTTTTTTTTTAAAAATATAAAAATGCACGTACAGCCAAGAAATCAAGGACTGGTAAAACGAGATGATTAATGGACTTATAGTCAAGGCCACGTAAGTCAGATACAGAGAGATTTCCAACTAATTGATTGGTAGTACTATAAAAAAGAAAGAATTATTAAATATTTTTAATCCCTTAATAGTAAAGTAAATAGAATCCTCTATATATGACATCAACTTACTGGTTTATAATCGGAATTCCCATAAGATTTCTTTCAGCCATCCTACGATAAACATTTAAAGCAGTTTCATTGTCTCTACCAATAACAATTTCACGATCTCTTCCGGACAAACCAAAACTTTCTAAAGATGCATTAAAATCAATTCCTGGTAATGATTCAGGATGTGCATATACATATCTTATAATATCGGTTTGTGTTAAGATATATTGAGGAACTTTGTTTGTATAATCAATAACTAATGAACGATGAACGCTCTTAGAAAAAGCCTCGAGTGTCTACCAACGACATAATTCGAAAAAATAAATAAATAAATAAATATATGTAAACAAAAAATAAATAAAATAAAATAAAAGTCTCATTTAATTCATACCGTAAGTATAGGTTCGTTAGCATCAGTTGTAAACATCCTATAACTTTCTTTTTCGGAATCCAAAGTCATAACAACTTCAATCGGATTACCCAAGTTATGACTTTTTTCACTATCCAAAGTATTTGGTAATTTTTCATCAGCAACAGCTTCTTTAATGATGTAATTTAACACATCAATTAAATTTACTATATTAACTATATTATCAGAATCATGAGAGTAAATTGGTAGAGATGTAATATTGTGTTTTGCCATATCTTTCAATGCTTCACGAACTGTAATAACAGGTTTTGCCGCAATTAGTGACGGTTTATCTGCGGAACCTTTAAGTTGCAAAGGTGTTAATTCAGTTAATTTAGTCGCCATTTCTTAAAGATAATGTTAGAAATAATTCGGTGTGGAATAAAAAAAAAATTGACAATGTTTTCACAAGCGCAAAAAAAAAGATTAGTGTGAAATTTATACTGATTAGATCGTTTAAAATCGTATGACAATTCGATAAATAAACCTCAGCCAACGTCGATCATATGATGTATTCAAAGTTGAAGTGATAAAAAAGCGCGACTTATTACGCCACTGACAACAGCATCCTAATAATACGATTTTTCAACTTGGTTCATTTTAAGTGACGATTTTATCGCATTAGTAAAACAAATTAGGAAAATGATAATGTTCGAGAAAATTTATTTCTCCTCATGCTCTTGTTAAACCGCTTTTTTGAAGCACATTCAAAATATCGATCGGGTGGCCCGGCCCTTAATAAAATCTATATAATTATTCAATTTTTTCCTATTTAAACAAAATTGACCCTATTTTCACAATTTCGATGAAAAAAAAAAGAACTTTTGAATGTTTTAAATTGTTGTTGGTAAGTTGGAAGAATCGATTTCGTAAATGTTCTATTATACATGTATATGACTCATCTTTATCAAACGTTTTCTTTATCAACTTTCGCAAAGAATGGTTCAGTAAATTGCTGTACGTGTAACAAAATCAATCCACTAAATGAAAAAGATATCGAAGATATCGCTTTCGCAGGGATTAGTCTTTTGGCTGCTATCTCGATTCCTCCGGATTGTAGCATCCATGAACAATAAAGGTTCGAAAATAAAATTAGTTTACACCGATATTTCGATTGATCAAATCATACGCGAATCT